GAGTCTGTGAATGCCAAAGTACTAAAGGTAGGACATTTACTCTAGATTGAGTTGGCGGTTTGACCTAAATTGGTTGAACATTTTACCTCGATTACGATTAATGAAGGATTATTTGATTTATTTGTTAATTTTTTTTTGCTCTCCTAGTTCACTAAGTTTTGTAAAGTAAATATGCACACATATTACAAGTGAGAGATTTCTGAATGAAGGGTGCGTTACTTGATTTAAAAATAATTTAAGGAAACACACACAAACACACACACTACCTACTGTCTATGATTATTCATTGAACGTCAACGTTGAACAACTGAAATTAAAACACACATTGCCTAAAACCAACAGTCACTTTTTTATTCTTGGAGAGTGCACTTTTGCAAACAAAATTCATATTACAAGTAAAAAATAAAAATAACTCGTATTTAATATTTAAAACAGTGCCTTTCATGCATCTTCTGTAAACAAATATTTTAAAGGAGATAATTATTTTGTTGTAATAGAAAATATGCCGTCTCAAGGCATCCCTAGCAGCTTCCAGTCATCGTCAATGTAGTTACAGTTAACGTGTAGTTACTTTTTTTTGAGAGGTATAAAAAATGTATATGTGAATATGCGACCGCACAAAGGCTGAGCCGGACTATACCCATGCATTGACGCAAAAGTATAAATCAGCCTAGTGATCCACACGCGGGACGAAATGTAATTGCAAAAATTGACCTGGAAAAATTTGATCGACTACAGATTCGGAATGTCGATTTCACATATATTGGGTTTTGACCAAAATTTCTGTACATTTTAAATATCCATCCATAATTTTAGCTATTGATCCAACTATTCTTATTAGCATTTTGGAGTAGTGCATACCAAAATTCTTAATGCAGATAGAAAGATGTGCATAAACTTTGAAAATGCGCATGCGAAAATGTAGGATACAGAGTAGTATTATATCTGATAAGACAAAAATGTGCATAAAATATGATGGAAACACATTTACTGAATAAATTCCAGCATATGATTTTGTTTCATCAGATCATGTGATGAGATAAATGGGTATGAAGGACTTTGCAGCGTTTCGAGCACATTGTGAAACATCTCAAATTTTTTGTTTTGCTCGTTCTAAAATCCCTCAGCTAAAGTCTGTCATCACAGTAGTTCATTATTATTATTTTTATTATTATTATTATTATTATTAAGGGTGTCACGATCCTCCAAATCCTCGATTCAATTAAATTTTCGATTCTAAAGGCACGATTCGATTCGATTTTCGATTATGAATAATTAATTTATTATTGACCAATTAATTATTTGCAGCCTACCGTTTAAACTACCTGACCTGCATGGTCTTTGTTTTACCCATAAACAAATCATACAGTAAATGAATAAAGGCAAGTTACACACATAATTACCACCTGTCAATCACTTTTTCTGCGGGACTCGTGAATAGGCAGTGATCTGTGTCGTTATAATGGCGTCGGTAAAAAAGACGCACAACCAACAGGAACCAGCCAACAGTATCTGAGGTGTTCGCTAAAATGACTAAGTACAAGTGAGTGAAAGATTGAAGCAGTCCTCTGACTGCCTGGACCTGCTGTCTCGAGCGCATGGCTGTGTGTGCGTCTGTGTGTGTGTGGTCACGTGATGTGCATTTTCAGAGGTAGAGAGGAAGGAGGGCTGCTCAGAAATGCTACACGCCACTGTGGATGTCAAATCGTTGTCATTATAAAATGCCATTTAAAAACACAGACAGTGTAAACAGGGCCTGAGTGTGTACTTTTCACGAGCGGATTTGCAACGGGGGGCGCGTCTATCGGACGAACCGTACGTAATACGTACATAGCAGAGCATGCAAAACTGTGTATTGTTGTCAACATAACTCACTGGAAATCCAAAATGCTTCCACACCGGCGACTTCATTGAAAGAGGAGAGGGTTTAAGTTCTGTCGACGGGTCTCCTGCTTCTGCAGTTTAACAAGCACTTCAACAAGCCTGCCAAGCTGACGTGATATGGGGGCGTGGCAGCATTGGCGATTCTGTTTTTTGATTCGATAATCGAAATTGCGCATAAATTTCGAGCAATTTCGATTAAAAATCAAAATCGTGACACCCCTAATTATTATATTACTACCTCCAGAACTGTCTTGAGTCTTACACCTTTAAAAGCCACCGCATTGCGTTCATTGCATTTCGTCTTCTAAGGCGCAACTCATTTATTAGAGAAGGAAAATCAAGCACGGTGGCTTTTCCTACCACACCAACTAAATTTTCCTTTCTGATATTTGTCTCCAGTTTATCAGGACATGCCCATTTTATTCTCTTTGACTCATTAGATGGAAACGCTGCTTTATGCGCATATTTTTTTTTTGCAATATTCCAGCTTTGCCCATTAATAAAATTAGCATCTTTAAATGGACCCAGCTACTGATTCAATGAACTCTTTTCTTCTCTGATCATTTGCATATGTCTGCGTCAGGATGTCAAGTTTCCTCTTATGCTGGACGTGTACGAGCTGTGCACATCTGAGCTGCAGGAGAAGATGGTTTCTCTGAGGTCCAAGTTTAAGGAGATGGAGGACAAGAAACTGGAGAAGCAACAGCAGTCTGAAGCAAGTGATCGCAATTCAAGCATTGTTTTAAAATCCTTCTAGGAAGTCAATAACATTTTCTTGTTCTTCAACAGCCGAATAAGAAGCCTGGTGCTCTAAAGGAGACAAAATATGAACCTTTTAGTTTTCCCGATGGTAAGTGCTTAATGCAGAGGATCAAGAGTGTTTTCATGTCGCTTCTGAAACGGGAAATAATAATATATAAACGTCTCTCCATAGACTTGGGCTCCAACAACAGTGGCTACTATGAACTGCAAGCTGTTCTGACGCATCAGGGCCGATCCAGCTCATCTGGCCATTATGTCGCCTGGGTTAAAAGGAAAGAAGGTCAAGTATCAACAATATCTATTGAACACTCAATTCGTGTTTATTAGCCTCATTAATTATAGAGAGAAACATGTCACCCTTTTCATGGCCCTTTAAAGGGCCATGAAACCCCCTCGTTTCAGCAGGGTGTTTTCACACCTCTACTTTGGAAAAAGCCAGAAAAGTGGGCGTGTCCAGCTCTGTTTAGGGGGGAGTGTCGGAGGACGAAAAGAGGCACGGTGTGGGAGTGTCTATTTGGGCACGCGACTGTGTTTACATGGGCATCTGTAGTCGAATTATTTGTCAAATTATTAAATGTTGGACTTTAACTGCAGTTTGGCTCTTTCATTCAGGGAATTCATTCATGTCCCTCGCGACAAACGAGATATTTGATTCGAGGAACTGCTCTAAGCGTGTATTTTTCATGCAATGTTTGATACCGCACGGCGAATGAGAGAAAAAAACCTCCGCATTTCCCAGAAACTTAGATGCACACGGCAGGTAGCGTCAAAGCCGCGTGTGTTATTCCGGTCACAAAATGCGGTAAAAATCCTACACAAGGTTTAAGTTTGGTTGTGGTGCTAACATGTTTACACTCTGTGCAATAGTTTGTTCGATACGAACAAACTGAATAAACAAAGAGCACTGGTCGCTCACTTACCAAATCTGTAGAGACAGGACAATCACCAGCAACTAGAGCCGCGTCTTTATTAAGAGGAGACTACAAGCGAATCCGGATCTCAGCGTTTGCAGATGAGAACAGCTCTCAGGTAAACAATAATCCTCCTTAGACACGTAAGTTATTGTTGTCGAGCGTCGCGTACACTGTTAATCCACACGTGACTCCAGCTGCGCTCTCACAGAGAGAAAATGAAAACAAAACTTAACTGCAGCAAACTATAAAAGCAACACTTCACGCTTGTTTTGCCAACACAACGTGGCGTCTCTGTCGTATAAACACCGTGACAGTAATAAATATTAATGAAGTGGCACAATAGAGCGCGCTGATTGGTTTAAACCAAGCCTTACTCATGCATTAATGCAGCACACTGTAAGACGTAATAAGACACACTCTGGCACAGACGTCCAGTCTGCACGCTGGAATACAGGCTATTATCTCATGACCGTGACGCAGTTTCAAAAATTCGCTTCAAACCGGAAGTACGAATTTGCTTAAAATAACGCAAAAACAACCAATTTACACTTTTTAGTGAAATATAGGTGTCCTAATAGTGTTTTTAGCAGTGTGGGACACATATACGACTGTCAACAGCTCAAACACATGTGTTTTGGTGTTTCGTGACCCTTTAAGATTAGACAGCAGCTCTCCTCTTGCTTTGTAATCTAATCCTCTTCTCTTTCTCTCCGAACAGACGAATGGGTGAAGTTTGACGATGATAAAGTCAGCGTGGTGACGCCAGAGGACATCTTGAAGCTGTCCGGAGGTGGAGACTGGCATATAGCGTACGTCCTGCTGTACGGCCCTCGACGTCTGGAAATGCTCGAGTAACGCTGAAGAAACCGTAAATGCCATTTCAGAGCACTGTCTGTATAGATGTGCAAAATAAATTTCTCGTGTCTTTAAAAACATGACCTTAATATTTTCTAAACCGCATCAACACAAGCGGCATGTCGGTTGAGGGGGGTTTTCCCTCCCTTTCACGGAGGAAAGATCGCTGGACCTGATGATCCTTAATTGGACTTTATTTTTGATTTGTAATGTTTTCTATATGCATTTTTAAGCCTGTGTCCACTCAATAGACAGCATCCCGGGAGAAGTAGTGACCGTATTAAAAGATCTTCTTGACCTAAAATGGAGGTTGAACTCATCCAAAGAAACCCGAGGCTCGCGAGGACGTGTGTTGTGTAGATTGAAGTGTAATAATCGATGGCTGATCTGATATGGAAGCACTTTGAGGATGTCTTTATGCTCAGTCACTGCTTCTGTCTTCTAGCCTACCATGCAGCAAATGTAAACTCATCTGTCCCTAAATACAATCAGAGAAAAACGAGGGAGAATTCTTTGTTATTGACTGCTCGCTGTTCACAAACGGTGTGAAAATAAAGCCACTGACAAACATTTTTTACAAATAGATTCATTTCAAATGATGGTTTATTCCAGAAGCACACATAAAACAGTTTAAAACCAAAAGGAGACGCTTTCGTTATGTTTCGCTCAGATTATCTGCGATGTTGTTGAAACCGGCTGCGTTCAGGGCCGTGACCAGGCTCTCCATCGTTGCTTGGGAGCCTTCTCGGTCCTGCCAGGCCACCAGGAGCATTTTGGCCTGTAGATCCACATCCTCGCTGTCCGACTCGATCACTCTGATCTCCTTGTCACTCATTTCCAGATGATCCGCCAGTGTTTTCCACTGGGAGCCGAGCTTTGCTGCGATTTCGTCCATTTGGCTGTTGGTCACGGCTTTGCTTTGAATGCTGGGACCTGGAGGAAAAGTAAAAACGTTTACTTAAAGTCTGCATGAACTGGAAGCTGCGACCATTTTTTCCTTATTGTGATGCAGTTTCTAGAGCAGGGGTGGCCAACCCTGTTCCTGGAGAGCCTCCTTCCTGCACATTTCAGTTGCTACCCATATCAAACACACCTGAACCAATTAATTAGGACCTGAACACCACGTGATAATTACAGGCAGGTGTGTTTGATATGGGTAGCAACTGAAATCTGCAGGAAGGAGGCTCTCCAGGAACAGGGTTGGCCACCCCTGCTCTAGAAACTGCATCACAATAAGGAAAAAATGGTCGCAGCTTCCAGTTCATGCAGACTTTAAGTAAACGTTTTTACTTTTCCTCCAGGTCCCAGCATTCAAAGCAAAGCCGTGACCAACAGCCAAATGGACGAAATCGCAGCAAAGCTCGGCTCCCAGTGGAAAACACTGGCGGATCATCTGGAAATGAGTGACAAGGAGATCAGAGTGATCGAGTCGGACAGCGAGGATGTGGATCTACAGGCCAAAATGCTCCTGGTGGCCTGGCAGGACCGAGAAGGCTCCCAAGCAACGATGGAGAGCCTGGTCACGGCCCTGAACGCAGCCGGTTTCAACAACATCGCAGATAATCTGAGCGAAACATAACGAAAGCGTCTCCTTTTGGTTTTAAACTGTTTTATGTGTGCTTCTGGAATAAACCATCATTTGAAATGAATCTATTTGTAAAAAATGTTTGTCAGTGGCTTTATTTTCACACCGTTTGTGAACAGCGAGCAGTCAATAACAAAGAATTCTCCCTCGTTTTTCTCTGATTGTATTTAGGGACAGATGAGTTTACATTTGCTGCATGGTAGGCTAGAAGACAGAAGCAGTGACTGAGCATAAAGACATCCTCAAAGTGCTTCCATATCAGATCAGCCATCGATTATTACACTTCAATCTACACAACACACGTCCTCGCGAGCCTCGGGTTTCTTTGGATGAGTTCAACCTCCATTTTAGGTCAAGAAGATCTTTTAATACGGTCACTACTTCTCCCGGGATGCTGTCTATTGAGTGGACACAGGCTTAAAAATGCATATAGAAAACATTACAAATCAAAAATAAAGTCCAATTAAGGATCATCAG